AGGCAACTCAGGGGGCATCACAATCCCAGACCTAAAATTATACTACAAAGCAAGCTACTGTAATAAAATCACCATGGTATTAGAAAAAGGAAACAGTTCTGAGGATCAGTGGAACAGAAGATGCAGATGCAAGCTTATGCATACTTAGCCATCTTATCTTTAACAAAGAGCCAAATATGTTCACTGGGAAAAAATAGTTTCTTTAATAAATGGTACTGGAGAAATGGGCTTTCCACATGCCAAACACTAAAACTAGACTCATGTGTATCACCATGCACTAAAGTCAAAATGGATCAAAGATCTAAATATTAAAACAGAAGCACTAGATTTATGGCAAAAGAAAATAGGCAGAAATCTCAAAGACATACATGTAGGCAGAGACTTCATGAACAAAACCCAGACTGCAAGGGAAATAGTACAAGGAATCAACAAGTGGAATCTCATCTTATTAAAAAGCTTTTGCACATCAAAATAAATCACCAACAAAATAAAAGGTAACCCACAGATTGGGAAAAAAGTTTTAGCCAACAGACCTCCAGAAAAGAAAGTTTAAAATGGGTTAGGGAAAAAATAGAGAAATAGAAGAGAAAATGATTAAAAGCAAGATGAGAGGGCAAAGGAAGATTATGTAAGCTTTGGGAGTTGGTGAAGAATACAGGAGGGAAAGAGAGAAGAAAGAAACAGAAGAACAGAACAAAATAACAACAATAAACTAGAAATAGTGTTCTCGCTGCATAAAAAGAGGAACAAATAATCAAGAGAAAAAATAGAAAAAAGCAAAGAAAAGAAGAAAAGCAGAAAAAAATGTATCCACTTCAAGGAATGTTGCAACTGTCATTGGTTGAGAGAGGGGGCAGACCAAGCCCATATTCATGTTGATTGATTGCAGTATGTCAGCAATAGAATTATAGTGATCGTGGATAATACCAGCAAGCCTGGGCCTAAGTTCCACTAAAGTTCAAGATGCTTCTGTGAGGCATAGACCTGTGTTTTTCATACCTCAACACAGATTCCTGCTGGCTTGAACTGGGCTTCTGGATATCCTGCTGGCTTTCACTTGGTCTCCGCTCACCCTAACACCTGGATCTGGTAGGTGGAGCCAATCTGCCACTGCTCTGAGTCCTGACTTCAGCTGGCCCCTTTCCAAGATGGCTGCTTTCTATTGCTCTTTCCTGGTAGGGATGGGGTCTGAACCCAAATAACTCACCAGTTTCTATAGTCCACAGTGTCCACTGCTCCATTCCATTGTGTATTTTGCCATGGAGGCCTTTGGAGTTGCCAGTAGTTACCATGGCTCTACAAGTTAGAGTCACCCCTCTGATGCTATGAGCTGCTCTCATGGGGAGAGCACTGCTTGACATCTCTCCCTCTTCCATGTTATGGTGCCTCTCTCAGCTCTTTCCATGGGCTCTAGTTCTTGCTGCAGGTCTTTGCTGGATCCTGGGGACCCACTTCTCTCCTGCTTCTCTTCATTTTTCTGGTATATTCCAATGTCTGGATTCCAAATTTTGGAGTCGTTGTTTCTTTGTTGTTCAGGATCTACTGTCTTCTCAGAAGTCAAGAAGATTGCTCTTACAAGCCTTCCTGTTATGCTTTTTGGTGAATTCTCTGAGTTAGCCATGGCTGATGCTTACTAGGAAGCACTAACAAATACCATCCATTTCATTAATGACTTCAGAGTTCCCAAAAATCTTTAGTTTCAAAAACAGTGTCCACTGGCCAACCCTCTAAGGCCTAGAATGACACCACCAAAGTCACACCTTTGGTGGAAGATTTCCTCTAAGAATGAAAATGTCTTTCAGAAAGCACATCATCCACTTGACCTATTCCTTTCAGAGGGGCAGGGGAGAACAATGACACCTAGTACAGAGTAAATGTGGGACTGCAATTGGGGACAAGAACATCCACCTTCCCAGAGGAGAACAGTGGAAATAGTTAACTCAATCAAGGAGACCTCACAATTTGCTTTACAGTAGCTTTAAGTACATAGGTCCATTGGTCATTTATATTCAGGGACAGATTCCTAGAGCTCATAGGCCAGACTTTGGAGACAGGCAAAGCCTTGCTTTCACTTGGCTGCATTTCTGGTGCAGCTTTGTGACTGTGGGAAGTTCACTTGACTTCTGTGCTCTAGGTCTTGATTTTCTCATTTACAATGAGTTTTAAGCATTAGAATAGTGAGAGGCACGTGGTGGCTACTCAATAAGGCCCCTTTTCCCCTGCATTTTCTGTTCCTGTTTTTGTTTTTATATTTTAGAGTAGATACATGTCCTGTGTCTTTTGAAGGAGCCCTACTGAGGATTGACCCTCCTTCAGCCTTTTTTCATTTTTTAATTTTAAGGCAGGGTCTCTAAGTCACTTAGCTGCCCAGGTTGGCCTCAGATTTGTAGTCCTTCTGCTTCAGTCTTCCAGAGTTCTGGGACTTAGGCATGCACTACTATACTCAGCTTATCTCATGCCTTTCCTCTAGCATACAAATAAGTGCTAACACGTATTTATTTAGCTGAGCGAGGCATGCACTCTGATAGCATTTGATCATTGGGTAGAAGAGGATGAACAAAGCCATTCACAGACACACATGTAAGCTTGATTGAATGAGAAGGTGAAATGATATTCATTAGATTTTGGCAACCTGAGGGAATTTAGGAGGTAGGTGCAAATGCACCTCTGCTCTTGGGTCTCTGGGATAATAGCAGGACTCCTGTCTCTTTCTCCCTCTCTCTTACGCTGTAATCGCAACATGGGTAGCTTTGTTCTACTACATGTTCCCACCATGGTGAGCTTCCTTATCATAGATCCAAGAGCACTGGAGCCAAACGATTATGCCAAATGATTATTACCCAAATTGTCAACCCAAATAAACTCTCCTTTTTCTGTTTTTTATGGCACCACAGATTGAACCCAGAACCTTTGCACTGGGGTATATAACTATGTCTTTTGTATTTTTCAGTTTGAGGCAAGGTTTCACTAGCCACTAGCTTGCCCCAGCTGGGTTCAGGCTTCTGAATGATGATCTTGTCTTAGCCTCCCAGAGTCCTGGGATCACAAGCCTGTGGACATGTCAGCTTCTTCTTTATAATTTAATTATCTTGGGTATTTTGTTATAGTAAGTTGACTGATGCAAAAGCACTGCAGGAAAGAAAGATAAGTATATTTATAGATTGTTCTTTTCAGATATAAGTAATAAAAGTAAATCTTTTTTTTTGGTGTAGGTTGCTGTGGACTGACTAAATCACCAGTATGTGTCAGTATTTGGGTTTCATAGGTCTCCTATTTCAGACTGTTTGTTCAGAAACAAACTTTTCTTAAAAGAAATATAGAATTGAACTGGAAATAAAAGCATTCTTTATCTATTCATTCATTCTCTTCTTTGGGAAAAATCCCACACCCATAAAACTTTCATTTTCAGTGTGGGGTATCTTTGCTTCTTTTGGTCCAGGTATCCTGTTGAAGTTTTTTTTTTTTCTTTTCTTTTCAGAAAATCAAGGGTAAAGAGAAATGCTCAGGAAGTGACTGACATGGTCTTTCTTTCTTTCTTTCTTTCTTTCTTTCTTTCTTTCTTTCTTTCTTTCTTTCTTTCTTTCTTTCTTGACATGATGTTTCTATACCTTGCAGCATCAAGTTGCTTACCTGTGCATTGTCCATCATAGAGTTTCAGGAGCCACATGTCTGGAGTTAGGTGGAAAAGCTTTGTGCGTCTTGGCCTGTGCCCGTAGTCAAACATTGTCTTTGCAATAGACATCTTTGCTTTAATGTTTAAGACCTTCCAGTTCAGACTCTTAATTCATGCTTTGTATCTCTCCAAAGCATTTTCTCAGGGGTTCTGTCCTTTGCCAATTGTTTTAGTCCAGAAGCAGCAGAGCAATGCTGGGAAGAATGATTGCTGTGTGTTAGAGTCATCTGTGTTTATTACATTCAGAAATTTCATTAAGTATTAAAATAACACACTAATCAACGTGTCATCTTGGAATGCTCCTCTCTTTAACAAGATTCCAAATATATTTTTCTTAGTGTTATTGAGCCTCTTTCTCCTTCCTTCCTTCCTTCCTTCCTTCCTTCCTTCCTTCCTTCCTTCCTTCCTTTCTTCCTTCCTTTTCTTCTTCTTCCCTCCCTCCCTCCTTCTCTTCTTCCCTCCCTTCTTTCTTTCCTCTTTTCCTTTCTTCCTTCCTTTCTCACTGATTTTTACTTTTCTGAGAGAGGCTGGCATCATTTTCAGATCCAAGTCTACCAAAAATTTGTTTGACTGTTGCACGAACATTTAGTGTATATTCACATTGTCATGCATTACAACATCAGTTAGATAGTGAGCTGAGAGGCTTTGCTTGACAAAGCATTCTGCTCCATTTGGAAATTAGAAATTATTTTCAGAACTTCATAACTGAAGATAAAAGTGTAATGTACTTCTTTGTAACTTATTTTTCTTCTGGAACACAATATAGAAGCATTTAAATTAGGTATATGTAGATTAAAACAATTTCACTTTCCTGTTCAGTAGGTGATAGTTTTGGTTTGCTTTATTTTTTGTGCGGAAATGAATTCTTGTGTTATCTCACTTTATATATAATGGGTATTCTTTTCAATCATTGTAATTACATTATTCTGCTTAAAGGTTTTTAGATATTGTTCAGTTTATGGTACAAAAAACTAAAAGCTTATTAGTATAAGCGTGTTTCTGGAGGAGATGTGAAGTTATTCATCTGTTTTCTGGCACTGACATGTCAGTGTAATCAAGACAGAATGCCTGGAGTTCATTTTGATTTGTTTCACTGTTGGTTTAAATTTACCACCCATGGTTACCCAAAATACATAAAAGCATGTGGGTTCGGTATGCTTGTTTTGTTGTCATATTGTAACAATGTGCAAACATGACTATACTTACTCTTTAGGATTAGGCAGATCTAATGTCATTACTCTTTTACTAGCAATATCGTAGAACATTCAAAAAAGTTCTTTTCCCAACCTGCCATTGCCGTAAGTTGATAGCTGCGCCTTTTGCATAGTTGACCACCCACTGAAGCCAAGGCACGTGAAACTGCTGTCCACTAAAATGGGCCTGAAGGTCACATGGGACCCTCCCAAAGATGCTACCAGTAGACCTGTGGAGCATTACAACATTGCCTATGGGAAGTCACTGAAAAGTCTTAAGTACATCAAAGTGAATGCGGAGACATACTCTTTCCTTATTGAGGATGTGGGTAAGTGACACTATGCTCTTGTTCCCAGTCAGAATTAACTGTACACCAACATTCTGAGTTACCTTAAGATAACTATTTGTGAGACAGAGTGGCTGGGCTTAGGTGTCTGTGATTCTTTGGGAACCAGTAATCAACTTCTGAGTCTCTCATTATGAGACTGTTGGTTAGTGGGCTTATTCTTTTTCCCAAGCTTTGCATCCTTGTATTAAGTATTCCACACTTCAAATTGAATTAGCAAACAAGTTTTTTTTCTTAATTGGTCCTCTTTTTTTGTCATGGCTGACCCTTGAACAACATGGGTTTGAACCAAGAGGGTTCACTTACAATTAGATTGCTTTTGAAGATTTTGTAATAATTTGAACAAACTTGAAGCAGAGCCACAAAGCTTAAAGATATCAAAATTTTGTGAATTCATAAATCCATGTAGATAGTAATCTGTCATCATTTACTATCATAAAATCTGAACAAATCTATAAAGGATTGAAATTTACCAAAATGGGGCCAGGGAGATGATAACTCCATAGAATAAGTGCTTGCCTGGCAAGTGCAAGGCCCTGAGTTCAATTGCTGGTACTACAAAAAAAAATGTAAAACATGAAATTTACCAAAATTTATGCACAAATTTACAAACCTATACAACACCTTTTTCAGTGGAGAGAAATGGGAACAAAGGTAAAGATGAGATATTAAACCATAACTACATAACTCAAATACCACCTGTCCTTTTGCCCCACATCTTGGTGGTATGCAATATGCTCAAACTCACTTAAAATGCTACCATGTGACATTCTTCAATTCCTCGCTAAATTATATGTCACAGGGGAAAGTGTTTTCTCAGTCATTGCTTATCTTTACCCATATATAACACACAGAACACACAACATGTGTGTTTCTCCACTGCTTATGTTATCAGGAAGGCTTCAGGTCATCAGCAGTCTCTTGGAAAATTTTTTGGGATGAAAAAGTTATATGCAGCATTTTCACTGCACAGAAGTTGGTGCCCCCAATCCCTGAATTGTTCAAGGATCAACTGTATCATGTTCCCACAGAGGTGTGTGTGTGGAATGTCATGCTTAGCCACATTCAATTTAAGATGTATCTTTTCTACCCATTTGCATTTTATTTTAATTTGATTCTGGAAGTTAAATGTATTTAAAAATGTTGGTTCAATGTATATTGTTTTATAAGTGCAGGTGCAGTTGGTTTTGGCTTTAGGTTTTGGTTGCTTCTTCTTCTTTCTTCTATTTTTGATTCCTGTAGCTTGAAACTACATTGATTCTGCCATCATGTTGGGATCCAATCACTTGGTGAATTAAGAGAACTCACAGAGGTCAGCATAGAGCCCTTTGTACCATGTTAGTATACTGATCCTTAGAAGACTTTTTTTTTTTTTTTTTTTTTTTTTGTGGTACTAGGGATTGAACTCAGGACCTTGTGCTTACCAGACAAGTGCTTATTCCACTCAACTGTCTCCCTGGCCCTCCATGTTAGTATCCTGATCCTTTAATGGATCATGGCCCTGGCTCCTCAACACTGGTCTAAGCTTTAGCCTCCATCTCTTGCTCTGCAGCATTATTGTTTTTTCTGAGTAATAGAGGAGAAAGTTTATAAAAGTGAGATAAAGAAGGCTAGGCTGTCTTTCTTTTGACTTCAGCTAACTTTGCCTGAATCTCTTTCAGGGCTTCCCAAAGCCCAGCTGTGAGGCTAAAAGGAGATTCTGTTAGACTGAAGGCATGTTCAGGGTCATATTTGCTCAAGACTTAGATTATTATGATTGTTGCGGAGGAGGAAAGCAGGCAGTGAAAGAGTGCAGAATTAACCAAAAAACAAATGTGCCTCTCTGTCAACTTATTGCATTAACTATATGGGACTGAAAGGCATATAGATTACATTTTTTAAAAAATAAAAATACCTGTCCAGTGAAGAGAGCACTAGCTCAAGCGCAGTTTTGCCTCTCTCTGAACCTGGAGCCTTTTCCCACTAATCTTTGAGATTGTGCCTAACCTGAAATCCCACCAGGCCCTGCAAGTATCACAGATAGTGTCAGTCCAGTCACTGGTACTTCTATTCAGGCTTGAGAGCTGACGGGGATTTTGTTGAAGGAATGCTCTCCACTTAGAGAAATGTTATCATTCTGCTTTTAAAAGAACTCTTACCTTGCCAGCCCTTCATTCCCTACAATGCCTACAAACATTCACTTCTTCATGGATTTGGCAACCTATTTACCTGTCAGAAGATAGCAATTCATTTTGAGGAAAGCCAGTGCTATTAGAGATTTGCTTCTCAAATGTGCAAAGTCAGGGTGTGCTCTTTTTGTACCATGGTGTCTTGATTTCCCTTTGAATTCCAGCATTGGGAGCTCAACTAAGCAGACCACTGTTATTTGACCTTGACCCCTATCAAAAGTAAAAAATAAATAAAGCCCAATTATTTTAAGCTTTCAGAAAAATATTTTTTCTGAATTTTTTTGAAATAGCAAAACCAATCTACACACATAGCCTGGGAGATATTTTACTGTAAGAAGAGTATTATAAAGGTTTATCAAGAGTTCCTATTTGCTATATTTATGAGTCACACTGACATTTCTTTTTTTTTCCCCTGGAGGCTTCTCTTTAGAGTTTCCATGGAGAAGTAAATTATCACTTATGGTTTTTAATTTGCATGTTCCAATACAAATTACCAGACTAAAGTTCCTATGTCTTACATTGAGTTCACATTAAAAACCTTGATATCTCTTTTATTACTTCTTTGTAAATCCAGATTTGTCACACATGCCATGTACTTGTACTAAATAAAGTTTGTTTTATTTAGGTCAGGTGTGTTTCAACTGCAAAAAAAGTCATTTCAGTAAAAAACAAAACCAAAGCTATTATTAGACTTGTTACTTAGGTAAGATTTTCATATGAGATAGTGAATCAGACTGTGTCATTCTTGGAGATTTGAAACAGTGGCTTGATATAAACCATGTGTTTCAGAGCCGGGGGTAGTGTACTTTGTGCTGGTTACTGCAGAAAACCACAATGGAATGAGCCGTCCAGTTTACAGAGCTGAAAGCCCACCTGGTAAGTGTTATTTAGAGTTTGGAGGCTGTGGTTTTAGTACTTAGATTGGGAGAGACCTACCTCCTTACTTCTTTAAATTAATATAAACTTAGAACTTCTAGACGTTTCCTGAAAGAAAATGTTGTAGACTCAGCAAGACAAAGTATGGAAAACTAGGAAGGGTCTATTTCTCTTTTAACAGTAGCTGTAATGTAGATCATAATCATTTTGCCTGAGCTTTTTTAGTATTCACTAGAATAAACCTTTAGCAGAAGACACAAAATATTGTCCCTAGAGCCTGAATAGATACCTTTGAGGACTATTGAAAAGATCATTTACCTAATCATTAAGGCTGCACTGAAATATGCAAAGTCCAATCATTCTTGTTTCTAACTATCAAGTTGCATTTTCCTAATTTAGGAGGTGAATGGATCAAGATTGATGGTTTTCCCATTAAGGGTGCAGAACTATTTAATGAGACTGCCACAGGTACTACTTGCTCATTTGGTTCATGTCTTCACTGAAGCAACATCCTGCATAAGGGATGCGCTTCTGTCACACACATGTGCTCACCAACTTTCATTTTGTTTCATTGCTAAACTAACACACGTGCCACACAGTCCTGGTCTATTAGCATTTTGCCTGCTCTGCGCCATTGTCATTCATTTCGTGTCGTCCCTTTGTGTCCTCACTGGTAAAGTGTCTGTGTTTATTATTTGGGGAGACTGTCACCCTGTTACCAGGCAAATATGTGGTTGAGATGGTAGTACTGGCCTGATGAGGATTTTTCCAACTGTTTCACCTGTGAATGGCATCAATGAATGGGAACTATAAAACAGTGGCTTCTATTGGCTAATTGGTTGCATCAAGTCTTGTTCTCCTTTCTGATAGGCTTGGGATTTTCGTGATATGTTAGTTACCCTGCCTTCCATCTCTGCTCCATATTTGTACACATGTGTACTTTATTACTTGGCTGTTGATGTTGTCTGGTCATACTGTTTTACTGATTGAGAGATGTGCTGACATTTCTTGTGTGTTGGTTCTTGAATATATTTAACTGGTGGTGAAAAAAATAATATATAATGAATGCAGTTATTTCAGAATGTGTTCGGGAAGTATCCCACAGGCGATACAAGGGGGAGCTATGTTTTATTTCCAAGTACTGTGTGTATAAGCAGATCAATATGGTGTTACTATTGAGAGGAAGGTGAGTATGTTGAGACTAATGGCCATAATATGCTCCTCAGATGATTGCTCTTGCTTTAGGAAGTTCTCAAATTCACTTTTATAAAAAAAAAAGTGGTGGAAGAACAAAGTAATCAGCCAAAGAAAGTAGCTTCAGGGAAAGTTGGCTGTGGGGTATTGCCGTGGACTTGTCTTGCAGGTGGCTGAAGATGAAGGAATGGAAGTTGGAAGAGCAAAATGAGAGCTAGCCATGGGTTTAGGAGGCATGTTATAGAGTGAATTTTTTTTTTTTTTTTTTTTTGAACAGGGGATTGAACTCAGGCCCTTGCACTTACCAGAGAAGTGCTTATTCTAGTGAGCCATCTCCCCGGACCCTGGAGTGAAAATTAAAGTGGGGGGAGAGAGAGAGGGAGAGAGAGAGAGAGAGAGAGAGAGAGAGAGAGAGAGAGAGAGAGAGAGAGAGCGCACTGGAGGTTAGGATCAAACTTGGAAAATACTCCTCTGTCATGTATGGGGGTAGTATTTCAAGACCACCAACAGATACCTGAAACTACAGATAATACTGAAGTCTGTATGTACAATTTTTGGTTATATGTACCTATTTATAATAATTTCTAAGTTATAAATTCAGCACATTAAAAACTTAACACCAATAACTCATGATAAAATAGAAGTTAGACCTATGCATGATAATAAAAGTTCTGGAAAGTGACCTCTCTTGTCCTTTCTCAAAACAGCTTACTATACAGTATTCACTCTTTTCCCTGTAATGATGTGAGATACAGTGCATACATGGTGAGATGACTTAAGGTGGGGGATGTAGGCGTTGTGACGCAGCATTCAGCTACTGCATGGGTGTAACTGGGGCAAAAGCACTGTGGATACCGTGACAGTTGTTCGGATGCACTACAAGCTGCTGAGTGACTAATAAGAGTGTAGCAGGTATTTCAGGGCTCTGTTGGACAGCAGGGTGACTCATGTCCTGGGCATCATGGAGGGAGATGGCATGAGATTTCATCACTGGGTAGAATAGTGAGCAATTTAAAACTTTGTTTATAAAACTGCCCATTTAATATTCTGGGGCACGGTTTGCTATCCGTAATTGAAACCAGGAAAGCAAAGTGGTGGTGGAAAGATTACCAAACACCTAAGAAATGTGAACGACAGGGAAGGATGTTTATTTCAGAGGTGTTTACTCCTGAATCCACACACATAATCAGAAACATGTAAATATTTTGCTGACAAATGTACATGCCTTGTACTTGATTCTTATATTTTGTGTTATACAGGATTGCTTTGATTTTATAACTTTCCTGATAAAGATTGTTTATGATACCGGTTTTGGAAGAAGTAAGTTTCTTGCTTTTTCATTGGTAGTTAATTTCTCAGTTTAATAGAAATGTGTGCAATCATGAGGGTGTGCATATGTGTGGTGCATACGTGTGTGTGCGTGTGACCTTTCGGAGGCAAGCATGACAGAGATTCGGGGGGCCAAGGATTGGAACCGTCATGCTATACCATGAGACTGTTTAAATTTTGTTTATTGGATACAGAGTCTCACTATGCATTTCATACTCATAGTGATCTTCCCGTCTCAGCTTCCTCAGCACTGTGATTACAGGGGTGTGCCACCACACCTGTTTTGGGGGCCTGCATGGTGCACTTAGGGTCCTGGGGCTGGCACAGAATGTGGTACCATGAATCCAACTCAGGTCCTTGAAGTTGCCAGGCAGGCACTTAGACTGTTGAGCTATCTTCCCAGCCCTATTTAAACTCTCTTTACAGGAGTCTTTGCAGGCTGTGGTTGCCAAAACATTCTGCCATAATATACTATGCTCCATTGCTTGTGTATTATGATAGAAAGATATTAAAGAAATTAGTAGCTGAAACCATTTGCAGTATATGATAAAAGATAGAACTTGAAAAACAAAGCCAAATAACCTACGATTACCTAGGTTGCCTAGACTTGGTAAAAATGCTTTAGGAAAAAAAAAATCACATTTCATTGTTAATGATAATAATGATAATTTACAAGAAACTGTCACTTAATGATTGACATGTATTTATATAGTTTTTTGAAGCTTGAAAAATATGCCATATTCTTGTTCTGAGAAGTAGTTAAATGCATGATGATTTTGTCAAACTAAAATTATTCACACATTCTACCTATTCACTCACAGGAAGAGATTTGTCCTAAAAAAATGCAATATTAGCATCAGCACCTGGTGTGAGACACAGAGGGTTTTGTCAGTGTCTCCGCTGACGTTGCTGTTCTTCTAAGGCTTCTTTGATGCCAGAGGGGGAAGCAATGTATTTATTTTACTGGGGGCAAGGATTTTAGCTCCAATTCCAGATTTCCTTTTGCTGCATTAAACCTACTTGGATCAAATTATCTTTACTTAGAAGCAGGCATTCTGTTATTCCATTCATCCCCTCAGTGCCTGTGGTCTTCCAGGTGCACATCTTTGTTCTAGAGATACAGGGCAACGAGACGAGCACTCACCTGAACCAAGCTCATATTCCAGCGGGAGAGAGAAGCACTAAGTGAAGACCGTGCACGCAACCTGTTGGTTTGCGGGGGCAGCCATAACAGAGGACCACAGACTTGGGTGGGTGTGGGTGTGGGGCTGAAGCAACACAAACGTGTTTCCAACGGTTATGGAATGCAAGCTGTTGGCAGGGTTGGTTTCTCTGAGGCTTCTCGCCTTGGCTTCTAGACGGCTGCCTTCTCTCCTCTTGCTCCTCAAGTGGCCTCTTCCCTGTGAGCATCTTTGATGTCTTTGTGTGCCCAAATTTCCCATTTTTAGGAGGGCATCAGTTGGCTCAGATTACGGCCCAATTTCATGGCCCCAGTGTGACCTAATTACCTCTTTAAAGACCTTAACCCCAGCCATTGTCCCATTTGAGGTAACCTGGGATTAAGACTTCAGTGTATGAATGTTTGGAGGGAGAGGGGGGCACCATGAAGCTGAAGGCATAATTGAAAATTATTTGAAAAAATATGCTACACTGTGATAAAGATTAAATAGGTGGAGGAATTAGGGTTTTGGGAACCTGGTAACAACAGTGCCACCCAGGGGAGACAATGTGGGAAACTTAGTGGGAAATCATGTGAGCAGGAAGAAGAACATGCTGGAGAATACTTGAGGCGAGAGGACTTAAATGACTCTGATTGGACATGCATCAAAATGTTAGAAGTCTTAGGACTCAGAAATGAGAGACCAAACAAAGATGCAACTGCAGGGTGGAAATTCTAGCTTCCTGTTGTGCAACTTTTTTTTTTTTTTTTTTTTTTTTTTTTTTTTTTTTTTTTTTTTTTTTTTTTTTTTTTTTTTTTCAGAACCAGGAATTGAACTCAGGTCCTTAAGCTTGCCAGGCCAGCGCTTATTCTACTGAGCTATCTCCCTGGCCCCCTTATCTCTTATTCCTCAGTCAGAAAGTTTTCTTTCTATTTAATGTAGAATCCCTCTCGTTGTTCTGTAAACTTGTATCTTCCTGCTTTGTCCTCAGGGAAGTGATGTTACGAATCTGTTCACCCCTCAGAATTTTATTATCTAGCATTCTTCCAAACTTTTTTAAAAAAATGAATTATTTTAGCTTCTTTTTGTCTGAATTTGGGGTGACTGGGTCATTCAGAGACAGGCTGAGGGGTTGAGACAAGGACGTGTCCCAACTTTGTGACTGACCTGCCAAGTCTAGTTGGCTGGACCCGTTACTTTGCTTTTGCCAAAATTTTTATCTTGGAAAATATGTTAACCATGTTTGGTTAATTTCAGCTCTCACTATGCCAAATATCTATTTTTATCACTTTTTATAGTTTGTGAAAAATCTAGTCCTTTGTGCTCTTCTCAATCTGTGAAGCTAAATTAGATTTTTTTAAAAAGTGATTTTATAGAATTATTTATTTGGTACAGGTTCTCACTATGTGGCCTGGACTCATAGTGATCCTCTTGTCTCAGCCTCCGCAGTACTGGGATTAAAGGCATGTGCCACCACACCCAGGTCTGCGCACTCGCCAGGCAGGCACTTAGACCGCCAAGCTATCTCCCCAGCCCCTGAACTAGGTTTTTGATTCTTGTATTCTCTACATTACCTTTTAGTTCATGAAGCTTGCTTATTCATTTTTGCATCACTAAATAGGAGCTTGAACTCAGGTTCAGCATAGAAATCACAATTTCTCCGTGGCTATTTCTAATCAGCTTTGGCATGCTGCTCACCTGTGATAAGCCACTCCTTTCCTTATCATGGACACCTACTGGCATCTAGGCTGCCCTAGAAGATCAGTAGTCTGTGGATCCTAGAAG